TCCCCCCCCCCCCAGACACGGAGCTCAAAAGCACAAGCCCAACCCAGCCAGACAAAAAAAAACATAACCCCCCCCTGCGAACCATATATAACTATACCAACGAGCACGAGTAGGGATAACAAATGAAGGTCCTCACCCCCCCCCCCCCCCCCCCCTGTGCTCCCCTTTCTCTCCCCACTCCCTTTTTCGAGCCCTCTCGAGAGAGATTACATATATAGGTGGGCGGAGAGGGAGAGGAAAAAATAGTATGAGAAGCATATGTGCAATGAGTAGCTAAGGCCAAAAAAATTCACACAGTGTTAACTGCTGTGATCCATGGAAGAGTTGTGATCTAGGACTCTCTTTTGCTTTTTATTTTTTATTTTTATTTACTTTTTTTGAGGAAGCTTCTCTCTTATTGCCCAGGCGGGAGCGCAGTGGTGTGATCTTGGCTCACTACAGGCCTCCGCCTCCCAGGTTCAAGCAATTCTCCTGACTCAGCCTCTCTAGTAGCTGGATTACAGGCATATGCCACTACGCTGGCTAATTTTTGTATTTTTACTAGAGACAGGGTTTTCACCATGCTGGTCAGTCTGGTCTCAAACTCCTGACCTTGTGATCCTCCCATCTTGGCCTCCCAAAGTGCTGGGATTTGAAGGCATGAGCCGCCACTCACTGGCCTGTTTTGCTTTTTAAAACTTAATCTTTGCTCTTCCTCCTTCTGGTAGTTTCTGTCAGGGTGGGTAGGAGGGAATAGGGTTTACTGAGTAAGAAGGTAGAATTTTTTTTTTTTTTAAGATTGTAGTCTTGTTCTGTCACCCAGGCTGGAGTGCAGTGGTGCGATCTTGGCTCACTGCAGCCTCTGCCTTCCGGGTTAAGCTATTTTTCTGCCTCAGCCTCCTGAGTAGCTGGAATTACAGGTGTGTATTACCACACCTGGTTAATTTTTATAATTTTAGTGGAGACGGGGTTTTGCCACATTGGCCAGGCTGTTCTCAAACTCCTGACCTCGAGTGATCCACCTGCCTTGGCCTCCCAAAGTGCTGTGATTACAGGCTGTGAGTCGTCAAAAAATTTCTTAAAAAGGACATTAAGCTGGACATGGTTGGCTCACGCCTGTAATCCCAGCACTTTGGGAGGCCGAGGCAGGTGAATAACCTTAGGTTGGGATGTTAGAGACCAGCCTGACCAACATGGAGAAGCCCCGTCTTTAAAAAAAAAGAAAGACATGTTTTTATGGCTGAAAGTTAAGTATGTTAGGAGAACAAGAAAAGAGGAAAGGAACTAACCAATTGTTCTTTTTTTTTTTTTAGATAGAATCTCACACTGTCACCCAGACTAGAGTGCAGTGGCACCATCTTGGCTCACTGCAACCTCCATCTCCTGGGTTCAAGCAATCCTCCTGCCTCAGCCGTCCTAAGTAGTTGGAACTACAGGTGCACACCACCATGCCCAGCTATTTTTTTTTTTTTTTTTTTTTTTTTTTTTTGAGACGGAGTTATCGCTCTGTTACCCAGGCTGGAGTGCAATGGCGCGATCTCGGCTCACCGCAACCTCCGCCTCCTGGGTTCAGGCAATTCTCCTGCCTCAGCCTCCTGAGTAGCTGGGATTACAGGCATGCGCCCCCATTGCCAGCTAATTTTTTGTATTTTTAGTAGAGACGGGGTTTCACCATGTTGACCAGGATGGTCTTGATCTCTCGACCTCGTGATCCACCTGCCTCGGCCTCCCAAAGTGCTGGGATTACAGGCTTGAGCCACCGCGCCCGGCTTATTATTATTATTTTTTAAATATTTTTAGTAGGGACAGGGTTTCACTATATTGCCCAAGATGGTCTTGAACTCCTTACCTGAATTGATCTGGCCACCTCAGCCTTCCAAATTGCTGGGATTACAGGCACGATCCACCACGCCTGGCCCAATTGTTCTAATTTGAATATTGTTCTGGTGCCCTACCATTGGGTGACTCAACCAAGAGAAAAATGTAGAGTATGGTTATCTCAAGGGGATGACGTGGGAGTAAGAAAAAAAAGTAGTGAAATGAAAAAATACTAATGATATAAGACATGAAAAGGTGACTATCAAACTATTCTCATAGTATTGCATGTATGAATTAATTGCATGTATATGTATAAAGATTAGAAGTTAAGATGGACGGGTGGAAAAAATTTGATTTGATGAAATTGTGACAAGTTTGCTTTTACCTTTTTGTTATCTTAAAATTTTGCAGCTCAGGCACAGTGGCTCACGACTGTAATCCCACTTTGAGAGGCCGAGCTAGGCAGATCATGAGGTCAGGAGTTCAAGACCAGCCTGGCCAACATGGTGAAACCCCGTCTCTACTAAAAATATAAGAAAAAAATAGGTGTGTGTGGTGGTGCGCACCTGTAATCCCACTGCTCAAAAGGCCGAGGCAGGAGAATTGTCTCAACCCAGAAGGTGGAGGTTGCAGTGAGTTGAGATCACACCACTGCATTCAAGCCTGAGTGACAGGGCGAGACTCCATCTCAAAAAAAAAAAAAAAAAAAAAAAAAGATTTCGCAATTAAGTATTGTTTTTAAAATTTTCAGTAGTTTTTGGGTGACAGGTGGTTTTCGGTTACATAGATCTTTAGTGGTGATTTCTGAGATTCTGGTGCACCCATCACTGAGCAGTCACTGCACCCAATATGTAGTCTTTTTTTTTTTTTGTCCCCTGAGGGGTTTCACCATTCCTAGAAGTACTGCAATACGGGGTCGATGCGTGGATTGGACAGAGCAAGCTCCTATTCCATCTCCCTGCTCCAAAAATCCATTTAATAGATTGTCCTCAGATGGAGATATTAGATATTATCTGATAAGAACAAATACTACGCTTGATCTCAGTCAAAAGGCTGAGAAGCGATCATGTCTTTTATTCCTCACCTCTCTGTGCTTAGGTATTTAAACAAGACCTTCTTCTTCTTCTTCTTTTTTTTTTTTTTTTGTCTGAGACAGGGTCTTACTCTGTCTCCTAGGCTGGAGTGCAATGATATTAGCTTGGTGGCTCACTGCAACCTCTGCCTCCCGGGTTCAAGTGATTATCATGCCTTAGCCTCCTAAGTAGTTGGGATTACAGACATGTGCCACCACATCCGGCTCATTTTTGAATTTTTTTTTCGAGATGGACTTTCGCTCATGTTGCCCAGGCTGGAGTGCAGTGGCGTGATCTTGGCTCACCACAACCTCTGCCTCCTGGGTTCCAGTGATTCTCCTGCCTCAGCCTCCCAAGTAGCTGGGATTACGGGAGCTCACCACCATGTCTGGCTAATTTTTATATTTTTAGTAGAGACAAGGT